TATAAATTAAGCATAAATATTTACATATTTTAACAGCCGGACATTGTAAGCATAAAAACTAAAACAAATTTGAGACTGAAGTAAACAAAAACGACAGCGAACAGTGTCACTGCGATGTGACCCTTGACCTATAATAGGGGACCGTCCATTCTTCAACAAGGCAGGGGTGACACGTATTCTTCCGTGCAGCGAGCTTTCGTTGCGCGCAGCGAGGTCGCCGAGGAATCTCTTTCTGTGCAGGCGTGAGGAAGCTCTTGGCAGGCACGACGCAGGTATTCGTGCGCAGACGAGGAAGCTCTTTCTGTGCAGGCGTGAGGAAGCTCTTGGCAGGCACGACGCAGGTAGTCGTGCGCAGACGAGGAAGCTCTTTGCAGAGATGACGCAGGTGTGCGCGCAGGCGACGCAGGTGTGCGCGCAGGCGACGCAGGTGTGCGCGCAGGCGACGCAGGTGTGCGCGCAGGCGACGCAGGTTTGTCCTTGTCGGCCACGGTAGGATAGATCATCGAGAACAGCAAAGCAGAAATTCGATACATTTCAACCATGGAACATTCTATGGTATAAAATTATCACATTGGTTTTACAAAACACTTTACTCCAAAGAAGAACTGAAACACCGACGACTAGGCCGGATATCCTAGCTTGTTAACGTTTGGCCGCAACATCTGTTATGTAGTTGTATACCTATCTGAATTGTAACTGACACTGTTAACTAGAGCTGTGTACCGGTACGCAGTACCGATACTGTACCGGAAAAATTGATTAGGTACAGGTCCAAAATACCTAATCCCTCAGTACCGGTACTGTACCTAAACAATTTCACACCAATTTTATGCCTATTTGTGACCTCAAATGTGTAAATAGCGGGTTAACAATGGGTCCCTGTGTAAGGACAGTGTGTTTATGAAAGCAAAAACATCTTAATTTTGCCTATATTTTATCTGAGCATTCGCTAAAAACAAAGAATAAACCTTAACTATCAAGTTTATTTGTTTTGTTTTGTTATTAAAGGAGTTCAGAAGAGCATATAAATTGGTCGAATTGTTCAGGTACAGGTTCAGGTCCGGACCTGTACCTAAACCTGTGTACCTGTACCTGTACCTGTACCTAAAATTTGTTTAGGTACACAGCTCTACTGTTAACTGTTCCGAATTGTTTATGTTCTTGTTGTGAGGGCTAGCCCTTTATAATAGCCTCCGGCTAGTTAGGCAGTCCTGGCTGCATACATATGTGTTATCAGCCTAATAAATCAAATCAAATCAAACTGAAACACAACACGGAGGTGAAACCGCTCATGCAGGCTCATTCAAAAGTTTGAAGTATATGAGTTCCCTTTCTTACAAGAAAAATTACG